ATTAATATAAAATTAAATTTTATTCATTCAAAAAATGTTGATATACAAAATAAATATTACCCTTACAAAAATAGCAACAGCAGAAACAGCAATAGTAGAATAACCAATTCTTCAAATATATCATTATCAAATGAGCCAACAACAAAAAAAGAAGTTGTAAAATATCCGGAGAAATATAATTTTTTGCAGTTGAGAAATGCAATTCTTTCTAAAAGATTAAAATTGGCCTGGGAAATATATTCTGATAAGAAGAATAGAGAAGGTTTACTTTATGTGGATTATTGTGATTTGATAAAATTGTTAAGATTTGGTGAAAATACATATATGTATGATATTAGAGAAAGATTAAAGCGAATGGAGCAAGTTAAAGATGATGTTATTGAATTGAAGATGGCGCATGATATTGATATTTATGATGTTATTATTAAAACGTATTTGAAAATAGGTGATTTTGAGGGTGTAAAGAAGACTTGGAAATTGGTATTGGAGCAAAATGAAAATTTCCCAAGAGATGTTATACCAAGCAAAGATACATTTAATACAATGATTGAAAGCATTTTACAAGAAGAAGGATCAATAGCATCAGTTTTAACAAAAAATGAGGTGGTGATTGAACATTTAAAGAAGTTTCATGAATTTTGTAGAAAGAAGAAATTTAAGATGAATGAAGATGTTTATATTACATTTATTATTGCGTTTGCAGATTTAGGTGTGGTAGAATACTCTGAGAAATTATTTGATGAATATTTATATGAAAAAGAAAAAATGTCAGTTAAAGAAATTAGTTCCAAAGTTTGTGACGTAATAATAAGTCAATATCTCAGGGATTCGCTTTTTAACTTGAATAGAGCAAATGGATTATATGATAAAATAGTATTTAAAGGTATTAGACCAATGAAAGAAACATTTAATAGACTAATCAAAGCATATTTTGATAGTTCAGAATATAAAAAGGCAGAGAATTTTTATGAGAATGAATATAGGAAACGTAATGCTGGTATTGATGTAACAACTATCAATATTATGATATTGGGATGTTTAAAAGCTATTGAACAACATTTTGATAATACAGAACATCATGAATCAGTTTTTGTGCATCGCAACGTTGTAAATGTCAACAAATATTTTCAACAAGGAATTAAAAAAAAATTTATAATTGAACAAGCTACATTTGATAATCTTATAAGAGTTTTTGGAAAACTCGGGAAATTTCAAGAAATAAATTATTATTTTCAACAAATGAAGTCGTTTGAGACAAAGCCAAATTTACCAATCTATCACACGTTAATAGAAATTTACGGAAAAGGTAGAAAAGTATCAAATATTATGAGGTTGTGGTATGACTTGATTGATAATATGAACCCAACTATTGATACATTAAAGATTTTTATAAAATCAATGATTTCATCTAATGAACCCAAACTAGGAATGGATTTTATGGAGGAGGCAAAAGAAAGATTCGGCGAGAATTGGAATAATTATGAAGTTTTAAACGAAATTGAGAAAGAATTTAAAGAGCAGTTTGAAAAAGATAAATATTTAGCTGAGTCATTTTATGAATTAGAAAAATTATTAGAAATTAAATAATGAATTATTTATTTTCCTAAAATTAATTATGTATTTAAATTTTATTAATTATTGTTTGTAACTTCAATCATGTACAAATTCATTTTATTTGAATGAAATATTATTACTCTATAAAGCAAAAGGTGATCTGACCTACTATTTAAGGGTCTCCAACAGATTACAAATCTATTATCCGAGTTTTTTTAATGCGATAAAATTTTGGTACCCAGATATCCATAAAAAAATTTAATACTGCAAGGTACCTTTCTATCATTTAACAAATATGGCCGATTATGACTTAATTTTTGGGCTACTCTTATCAGTTAATTTCAATACACAATAATTCAATTAGTACCTAGAAACTTCGGCGAACTTGAATTCGAATAACTATAAATAAATTTTTTATAAAGTTCAAAGCTTCTATAAAGCTCTTTATATTCACTATGACCAATTGATTCCAGTCATTTACATTAATTGGCCGATTCCCAAACTCGCTTACTACTTAACTTAACAGCTTGTTTAACGGCCTCGCTTTACAATAACAGTTTTATTACAATACCACTATCAATATTTCCAATTAACATTTTGACAATATAAAGCAAATAAAACATAGCTTTTTACCAAAGCTCCCAATTGTTTCCTTTTTACCGAGGCACTACACTTGTTGCATTTGCCAAAATGCTTTAAACGAAAAACAAGAAGGTTGTTTTTATTTTAAAAGCTTATTATTTGTTTTCGTTGAAGAAAGTTTGCGTAGAAAAATTTCAACATTCGATTGAAGTTCAACGGTGAATTTTTATCACAATCCCGCTAAATCAGCATTGTGTAGTTTCCGGACCCTGGATAACTGTACCAAAATATTTTTCATATAAGAATTCAATGTCACGAAATTTCTGTCATTATTGTCATTATTGTTGTTATTATCAATCATGATTTTTTCATATTCAAAGCAATTATTGGGGAACACAATTTCCCGGTTAAAGGTGACTAGGATTTCTAGCCAAGAAGCAAAAAAAAAAGTCTTTTGTCTGAAAACAAACTGGTACTTATGTGAGACTTGTTCTTGGATTTATTGCTGCAAGTGTAATATTTTATGGTTGGTATTTTAATAGGAAAAATTTGAAAAAGAAATATTAATAAAACTATTTAAAGCAGAAACTTCATAAGTTTAATAAATCATTCATTTGTTCTTTCCCTTAATTCATAAGTAGTAGTCATTGAACACCCTCAAAATTCACTATCTAGAGGGGTTGAGTTTGATCAACCATTTGATAATGGCATGTGTTTGATAAACAAATCAAACTGCAAATCTTTAACGGCTTACTTTTAAAAGTGAATGTTCCTATGGATTATTTCCTGAGCTTTTCATTTACTTTGCTTCATTATAAAGCTAAAGCTAAAATAAACCAAAAAAATCGATGAAATTATTAATGAAATAGAGTCTGAATTAATTATCAATCGAAAAATTTTAAATTTCTATAAAGAAAAAGACAGGTTTTTCATTTAATAAAATTGTAACTGTAGTCCGTAAGTTACTCGTCCAATACTGGGTCAACGGCACCTCTTTGAAGGATATTTGTGTATGATTTCAAGTTGTGGGCTACTTTATTTGGTTGCTGTCAAGTTTTTTTGACAAGCTTGAGATTACTTATTTGGGAGTTGTCAGAATAACTTTAATATGAATCAACGTAATTTATTCTATGATCAAAATGACATTTTCAAAGTTTTCACATTTATATGAATTGGAATAAGGGATGGAATTTTGAAATTCAGAGAGATGTTTTAGTTGTTCTAAGTGCACTTTTCCATCAACATGTAAGCATAACTATGCTAAGTCAGTGGCACAATCAATAAGAGCCTTAATGCCAATGCCAGAAGAAAGATTAAAATTACACAAATCAGTTAAAAACTTTCCAATGAAAAGGATAAACACTGTTTCAATATTGATGATTCTGATGAAGCATTGGAGACCTAAAGAGTAAAGTTTATCAAATAGAATGTTTCAACCAATGTTATAAAATCAAACTTTTGAATTAAAAGGAGATAAATTGATAATGAACGGATACGAGTACTTTTATTAGAATATCTTGATGACCACTTGTAACAGTCGACAAAAATTTGCAATGTGAATCAACTTGTGATTGTATTTGATCCAAAAAATTCGGATAGTTTATTAATCCAAATGATTTATTTAATGTCACTAAGCCTAAACGATTAGTAGAATAAAGATTAAGCCACTATGAGGCCAAAAAGACCATAGTTACAAAAGGAGAATAAATTTGGTTGGATAAAGAGAAAAATCAAAATCAAAAAAGGGAACTAATTATTTTGGATTTGAAAATTCCAGAACGTGGTGCAGCAATATGATTGATTATTCATCTTGTGAAACAAACTTATAAAGGAAGAATGAAAATTCATTGATGAAATGCATGTTATAAATGATTAATGCTATCGAAAAACATTAATACAAATTAATTCAATAATAATAGTAATTAATTTTAGTAATTTTTCGTCAAATTATAATGTCTTCTATCATCACGATGACTTCTATCATCGTATTTTCTATCACCAATTCTTCTATCACCATCATATCTTCTATCATATCCACCACCTCTATCGTTACGACTTCTATCATTGTATGTTTTATCACTAATTCTTCCATCATCGTCATATCTTTTACCATCTTTATCATCACGACTTTTATCATCGTATGTTTTATCACCCGTTCTTCTATCACCATCATATCTTCTACCACTTCTATCATCACGACTTTTATCATCGTATGTTTTACCACCCATTCTTCTATCACCATCATATCTTCTATCATATTCATCGCTTCTATCATCATGGTGACTTTTATCATCGTATGTTTTATCACCTATTCTTCTACCACCATCATATTTTCTATCATATCCACTACCTCTACCGTCAAATCTTTTATCAATATCATCAAAATATTTTCTTCTATCAACCGCAGCAGCGGCAGGAATTTTTTTATCGTCGCGAGTTCTAACATCACCACCACCAATTCTAATATCATCCACGCCCTTATCCTCCTTCATCCTTTTATCAACTCGATTACTACTATCATGATTATGACGATAATGATGACGACTTCTACTTTTACCACCACTTCTTCTTCTATTACTACTATGATTTTCGCGACTACTACCACTAATATTACCACTATCACTACTGCTAATATCAGAGCTAGAACCACTATTATCTGAATCATAGCTTTTCGATGATGATGACGAACCAGTAGAAGAATAAGACGCACCTCTAGAAGAAGACGATGATGAGGTGGAAGAGGAAGATATGCTTTCGGTGTCACTTGATGATGATGATGATGATGATGATGATAATCTATTTAAAAAAAATAAAATATGGTTAATTGGCAATTATATCTATATAATTAAATGAATAAGTGAATGAATAAATTAATAATGATGATGATATAATATTATTATTGCAAGAACATACATTTCTTTCTTTTGTTTTCTTTTTCGTTTTAATTCTTTAGTTGCTGCTGGTTTTTCTAAAATAACAACAACATTATCATCTTTTCTATCTTTTCTAAAAACGTTATTTAATAATAATAAAAAATTAATATAAATTATACACACATATATATATATATATATTACTGGAATCTCTTTAATCAATTAATT